CACACACTATTTAATTGTATACGCACGAGTATTACGTTTATCTGCTGCGATCGAACGATCGAGGATCGTGAAGTCTGCGATGGAGCACAAAACCTTTCGTTCACAGTACAGGCACAAGGGGCTTGTTTGCGTTTTTACACGCGAAATTGTGCACAAATAATTCGCTTCGATTGTACTATCTTAACAATGAAAAGCGCAACTTTGCGTGTAAAGGCGAATTAACATCCCTGTAACTCGAGTCTGTCATGAATATATATAACAGATTTTGTATGCCGTATATTTTTTCTATAGAAATATTCTATATAGTATACATATATTTCATGTATATGACAAAATATTCTATATAGCATATATCGCACGTGGCAAAACAATGAGAGAAGAAATCCATCCGTGATAATGTTCTATCGCGCTTTTGATTTGCAAATAATCGGCCGCACACGATCGTGAATTATATTCGAAAACATACAATTGTAGAAAAAATTATAACATGGGCGAAGAGACACATATTGGATCAGGACAGTTTTTCTCTCTCACCGTTTTGCTGCATAGATACATTAAATGCGGTTATAATGCGGAATCTATTATATATTTTTCTGAATTTTCTATCGAACTTGCCTATATATATATATATATATATATATATATATATATATATATATTATAAATACATATAATTTAGATGATTTTTTTTTCTATGACTCTATCATGTAATTAGAGTCAAAATGTATCGACAATTTTATACGCATATTTGTTCTTTAAACATATAGAGGAGGAATTTCAATGTGCACATTATCTATATTTTAGGCCTGATTCGATACGCAGCCTTTCCTAACTTTTGACGAATTTTTTGTTTTTTATGTGGTATAGGTTTCTTAAAAAGTAAGCTAATTATAGAATCATCATGCATGCTGAGCTTCTTATTGCCGAAGTATTTGAACTGTAAAGAATGTTTGTGAATCTGTTACGAGATATTAATATCCGTGAGTAAGTGCGACGCGCGATAATATTTAATGTAGTTATTTTAATTACTCTCTATTGCGTGTATAATATTTATTGCCATTACTTTTTAATTAACGCGAATATATGCGCGCGAGGTCTGTTGCGTGTAAAATGTATGAAGAGAGATACGGACAGATTTTATAACGTTATATAAATTCTAAGTCACACACGCTCCGCGTGATGTCGAATTCAAAGAGGAAACGATTAACAAAGATTAACGGCAAGAAAGCAATGCGTGTTTTATCCTGTACCAATTTTAGTTCCCTGACTGTGCGATCTTCGATCGAGTAATTAAGCGATCGTCTGAGAAATGCGAGTTCTTGATGTTTATATTGTGCGTGTGTCACTGTTAGTTAGTATTATTTATTAGAGTGAAAGCGGAGGGCGAGTGCGCACGCGCAAAGTCTGTCCGTTCGTCATTTCGTCATGTTTTTAATTAGTCCGCTTAATGCGGCAAAGGCGCGCCGCCGCATTATAAACGCACCTGCGACCTCGGCGACACCTGCGACGATCGACAATTTCGGCGAGACCGCCGTCCACTCGGGAAATCTTCTGATATCTCGTCATTAATCGCGTAACCATATTGCGTTAATATTTAAACGTTACATTCATTTTGTGTGAACGCATGCGAAAAATTTTCATTCTCAACGGAAGAAGTGTGTTGTCGATTTTTATTAACTCTCTCTCTGCGCGTAACTGTATGTAATATACATTTTCAGATGTATAGATTTTCGTTTGTAATCGATCGAGAAAAGAATCCGTTAAATAGTTGAAGTAGTTAATCACAAACTGTTTAATTTAAATAATCGTCGATACCGCGTTTGTATCTGTCAACAAGCGACAAATATAATTTAACGTAAATCTCCGAGACGCCGAATTTTACTCAAATGTATTTTGTGCAAGTACATATAGAGGCCACGCGATTTCTGTTCTGTAATCAACCCCCTCGAGATGTTCGGTAACAATAATAACAATAATAAAACCCAAAGACTCGCAAGAGAGTGTGAGAATACACAACTAATTAGTAATAAAATAGTATCATTAATAATTTATATTATATACGAGCAGTCATAAAAAAAAATATACATAAGCCAAAGAAGTGGAACTAGTAAAGGAGAGACAGAAAGACAGACAGAAAAATGTGTATGCGTGCGTGCGAGAAAGCAACTTTCAAATGTTTTATATTAGTTAAATTAATGTTTTATATTAATTATATTATTACTGATCGTCATTTATCATTGTTCAAATCATTGTCATTACTTTTTTTTTTTTTATTAATTCTCATTGTCAATATAAATTAATCTTTTTTATTGTATAAAAAATTTATATATATATATAAATGTATAGTATATATATGTATATTATATATACATATTATATATACATGTATGTATATATATTGTAGAAAAAAAACGTGATAACTACGAATCCTCGCTTAGATAATTCGCATAGTGATTTTTCTGTACACACATTTGCTGCGGCAGCAAAGAAATACAATGCTATTTAAAAACTGCAATGAGTACTTTTTTACACCTTTTTTTTATAATAAGATGATTTTTTATGCGCATGTATATTTATGTGTATATATCCAAGAATGTTAAGTAAAAAGTTCATCTATATCAACAAAACTAAATTGTGAATTTTTTTACATCAACAAAAATAAAAAAATGTTTTAATTTGTTATTGTATGATACAAACAAAGATTTTAAGAAATTTGTATTCATCTAATAGAGTAAATACGTGTAATTTGTGCGTTCATAATTTGTACTATCGTCAGTTGGTTGAGACGTGCTGTATAATACATATACCGACATCTGTAACTCATATGATAAGGTAAACAGTCTTTGTAATTTACCGGCAACCGAATACTTCGCATGTCTTTGACTATATCATGGGGACTGCTAGTTGACATTTTCATGCTGTGAATAGAGATTAATAGCGCCTCCATCGACTAAAGATAGCATAAAAGTGAGACAGCGATAATACAATTTTCTTATAAAGAAAGAAAAAAGCAAGTCATTCGCGTTTGTTACAGTGTTTCTTTTTGCAATGGTTTTTTTTTTTTTTTAATTTTACAGAGAGATACAAAAAGATTATTTTTTGTATACAAGGTGCAAACTAAGCATCCGATATGGATTTTCGAGTTGAACCCGAATTACTATGTGTATCAATTTACACGTTAAAAATTATATATTTAACGTTCTTACGAGTCTTATTATTTCAGATAATTGAATAAAGACAATCTCTTGTACGATTTGTATAATTTATATATTTGTTGGGTAATTTTGTAAGTTTTCGTTTTTTTTAATTTAATCTTCTTTTGACTGCTTTTGTATTTTGTTTTACACATAAGTTTCAAATTTATACTTGTAATTTTAAAAAGTCGAAAGTTAACAGAACTTAGAAAAGCCAAATTGTGTGTATTGTGGGAAAACGTCTGTACGGAATATATATCGGAAATTTCGGTTTACTCTTGGCCAAAGTGTCTTTTTCGAAATGGGTTTTTTTAACTTTCATGGAGGAATAAATTAGATGTTTTTCATTTGAAATACATATGTGGATGCAAACCAAGCATTCTGTATGGTTTCGAATTGAAATGTGTACTAATTTATATGTTTAAATAAAAAATAAAAAATATATTTTGCTTGAACATCTAGCACACTGGCTCACATTAATCGTATAAAGTTTTGTGTGTTTACACAGATTTCTAGAATATCTGTTCTATAAGAATATTTTTTATAGAAATTCTTTACAGAGTAAACTTTCTTTTCATAAAAATTCAACAGGAATAGATATTCTCTTAAATAAAGTATATATAAATTCTGTTAGAATTTATATATATATTTTTTTATTTATATATATATTTTTTCATAAACGAGAGGTACCTGTTTTTTTTTTCGAATCCTGATCCACATTACTACGACATTCATTTTAGGACAAGGAACACAAAATATATATAATAAAAATTGATGAAGAATATGTACGTTTTAGGTAAGATTATAATTTATTCACACAAGAATGTACAGAAACTGCCAGCCAAATATCTATCAATAAATACATGTACACAAATAATTACTCTCTTTAGAATACCGTGTGATTAAACCTTAAATGAAATAAAAAAATTATACTGCAAAGTTTCTTCGATATGATGAATGCAGAAAGAATAGAGTAGCAACGAGACACGTTCGTTTATATATATTGTTTGTATATATTGTTAACTGATAATCGATAAAAAAATCTAGCACTGTTTTATAATATCTATTTGTAAAAATAAACGCTTTCGTACAAGCGATATAAACATGTAAAGTCATTTTGTACGACATGACAAATTGCATGGTAAAGTTACAACTTGAATAATTCTACGATAACCGAATGATTCTAAAACTAAATTAACTCTTTTTTTGCCATTAATGTATCGGTTGTGTTTTTTTCTGTGAAACGAAATTAAAATGTTATTTTTGTTTCATCTTAAAAATACTCTTGGAGAAATGCAGAAATAACAATGCTGAGAATAATTAAATTTTTGACGTTGATTTAGTAAACTAGCATCTTGAATGTGTTTTGTTAAAAATAATCTCGGCAATAAAAAGAGTTAATTGCTTTATAATGAGGAATTTTGTAAAGTTGTTGCGCAAAATTTATTAACTCTACACTCTCTTTCGAAAATCTTTCAGTATCTCCAAGACGTTCTTTCTACGTTTGCAATAAAGTCAGAAATAAAATATTTGAACTATTAGTAATGAGATTGCTCATTTTATATTTTTCACAAATCGCAGATTTTGTTTTACCTTTTTTATATAAACTGCCGTAAATAATCCTTTCCGGTGATCACAGTAAAATTTTTTTCGTGGAACAAGACACAAACCTACTAATATATTTCTTATGTAAAATAACACAATGTTATATATTAAAATTACATAAAATTTACTTTTAACATATTAAAAGGATGTTTTTTTGTATATATGTATATATATATTATAATTTATACACTTAGAGTTTTTTCTCTTTAATATAATTATTTGAGAATTAATCTTTTTTGTTAATATCTAATAAGATTGTAAAAAAAAATTAATCTCCATGATCACCCGAGAATTAAAGACGGCGCAATCGCCACATGTGGAAATCCCGCAATCTTTATTTGGCACGTGTCTCGCCGGCCTCGCGACGGGAAGTATAAAAGGAAAGTGAGTGTAGTGATGTGACGTTGATGGACGATCGCGATCATCACGTAGGTGGTCGTCGGCTTGACCGCGATGATTTTACAGACGGATGCCGCGGTTGGTGCTGGCCACGTAGTTGAGCAGCTCCTCGGAGTCCTCGCAGACGAACGGCTTCTCGTGGTAGCACGCGACATCGTGCCAGGCGATGCCGTCATTGTAAACGTTGTTCAGGACAGACAGGCAGGACTCGTTGGTGCCGTTGATGTCATACTCGGCATTGTCCGGCTGTCGTACCTTCTTGTGGCCAGTTTGCGACCACGGATTGAAGCCCCATCCGTTCGGCGCCTGATTGGTGGGTGCCATCTTCTCGCGATTGGCCGACCAGAACCAGCCGTAGAGAGATTTGGGTTCGAGGTCACGTCGATTTTCACAGCCCTTGAAGTCGCAGAGACGTCCGGATGTCCAGATGTATGGAACGTCGTCTGTACATAAAAAGCAAATTTTATATACGTAAAATAGATCCGCTTGTCAAGGTGAAAGCATAAAATTAATCTAATAAAAATTCAAAAAACTTAAATCTAAAAACTAAAAAAATAAAAAACCATTTTTTGTATTGAATAAAAAAACGATGATTAAAGAAATTATCTTATATCCCATATTTTGTTGTGTGCAAAATTATTATCAGACTGCGGATACACGAAGTGTTCAAGGCGTGCGATTGGAACAAGAAGACGGGTTTCGCACTTCTTAAGCGAAATCAACTCAGCACCATCTCACTTTCGCCGGCCTGCAAAAAGTTTCATGCAACGCGCGATGCTGTTATATAAAAAGATGAGACTCTCTAGCCTCAACCTACTTCAAGACCCCCGCATTACCTTGAAAACTGTCGTTATTACCCACCGACTTCTCGCCGTATCTATGTGATGTCGTGATGAGTATCGCTCGTGATGAGCGGTATCACCACAATTGTGTGATAATTGCGGTTAAAACAACAACAGCGAAATCAGAAGAGATTTCAACAATTTAAATTAATTCATGGTTACTTATTTATATTCATGGAATAAATCATGGAATAATTCATGAAATTATTATTCCATGAAAAATCAATCTGTGATTCGCGCATCCACGATGGGAATTCAATTTTTTCTCGAGTAGCGTAATTTAATTTTTAATTAATAAATTGTAACACACACCATTGATTGGACTAATCATTTCTATTTTTTCAGATATTAGAACTATATTGTAACTGTATCGTAAATTATTTTACTAAATTTATTTCAGATTGTTTAAATGTTTTTTCTAGCCGAAACTTTCTTTTCAATTTTTAGTGACAGTTTACTGTTTGTTATCATATAACGGCTCTCAAATGTATTTTATTCTGATGCAATTAAACAAACGAGAGAATAACAAGAAAGCTGCAGATGAGTTCTGTAAAAATCTCTTCTGTGTAAACTTTTCCGTCTCTGTTTCTCGAATGTGTTTAACCATATTGCATTGTAGCTAAAAGGTCGCAATGAAGAGGGAGAGAGAGAAAAGGGAGAAGGAAAGGGAGGATATTATCGTTAATCATCCGAATCGAAGAGTGATGTTCCACGTCATTTCGAAATGATTGCCGAATGATTATCTTTCGTGTGGATGAAAGTTGCCGCGATACATCGCGTCGATACTTTGCGCGACCTGTCATCGTCATCGTCATCGCGCTTTTTCTGTTGACTTAAGGATATTGTGAGGGTAAATAATTCGAGGTAATTAGAAGAAGATATGTCGCTGAAATTATTTGTTTTTTTTTTTAATTACTAGCAATAACGAAATAACTTACTCTGCTGAATGAGTCTGAAAATCATGTTATTTTCTTCTTGAGTTTCCATCGACACGAGATCCATGCAATATTCTCTGCAAATGTTCCTAGCGTCTAACCAGTCAACTTTTTGATTGGCATGATTTGGCACATGTCCACTGTAGAAATAGTTGTGTCCTCGGAAGTTGAATTGTTTTGGTCCTGCAAAACGTTTTTGAAAGAGAGTTTTTTTTAGAGATTTCCAATTTTACAAGCGGAAAGGTGTATTGGGAATATTTAAAATTATACATTTTAATTTTTTTTTGTTTTTTAACAAAGAGAGTACAAACATACGCGATCGCGCATATTCGAGAGCGGATAATAAAATAACTGAAGTGCACACGCATTACGTACAGCGTCTATACAGATACAAAAAGATATTAGCTTTTCTCATTGTCGTTATTATTCATATAGAGATGTCACTCGCGCGTTTTTTTGCGAATGAAATGATGTACAAATCGAGGCGTTTATGTTAAGCCTTTGCAATCACGCCTTTTTTTTTTAACAGGTACTTTTTCTGTTAACAGACGGTTAATTGACCCGTGAAACTGATAGTTCAGGGATCGAACAGCTGTTGCGGTGAAGTAATCCGTGGATCTATGATTCTCAAGAAGAAGAAAATATCTTAACTGAAACTCAGCGTCTTCATTGGATGTGATCGGGAGAAATCAAATTTACTCACTCGAAAAATTAATAATAAATTAATTGTCTCGTAGAAAAATATTTATATGCACGAGTTTGATCAGTATCTTTTCAATTTAAAAAAAAACTACCTAATTATGCTGTGTCGCTCGATGCTGTCATTTTTCTAACAGTTCTCAGTATTTCTCGCGTGATTCATCGAACACATTACTGGCTCTCTGTCATCTTCGTCGGAACTGCCGAAGCAAAAACACGCTCGTGCGTTTGTGTCTCACCGCGAACAAAAAATCTGTAATCAACGGCGGCGGCGGCGGCGGCGGCGGCGGCGGTGGCGACGGCGGCGGTGGTGGCGGTGGTGACGACGTCGACGGCGCGTCATTATCGTCCGTTTTAAATGTCAACGGTCTTACACTTTTTCTCAGTATTTATGCAGGTATGCCTCTCCCCGTCGACGATTTACGACGTGTGTCTCATTATAAGCGCCTAACGCCGCATTACGAAACGTATACGTGAGCGCACGTATCATCAGACTCCGCTGCACGTTACAAGAAGCATCTTCTTCCCTTTCTATCTCTCTTCTATATATGCACTGTGACATAACGTTTTATATTTTGCCGCGCGATCTCCTCGCCACGTTCCTTCGTTTTTTTTTTTTCTTTTTTTCTTATTTGTCTTTCCTCCGAACCGATTTATCGAGTTGCTTCGCGCTCCACGTAACATTGGTAACCCACATTTTGTGTCGTTATTACCTAACCGTGCGATATGTTAAAAACTCGATAATGAATATCCTCTCGCGAAATGTGTCTTAAATAACAGAGGATTTTTGGCTAAAATTTGGAAAAATATTTACTTTTTGAATCACAAAGAAAAAGATCAAACATTTTGATCAAATCAAGATATACAATAAAAATTTGTAACAAATTAACAAAGAATTGTGGCTCTTGAAGTCTTAAAACTAACAACGCGAAATTTAACTGGTCAACGAGAGCTTACGCTGGATTGTTCGTGCGAAATAAATAAATAAATAAAAATATATACATAAATATTTATATTTATTTATGTAAATTTTACACATGAAATTTGAACTGAATTTTTATTTCAAAACTTAGTAAAATCTTAGATAATTTACACACATATCATATGATTGCAATATTAAGTTCTTTTTAAAAAACTATACATAGTTCAAAATACTGTAAAATATAAGTTAAAAGGCGGGCAGATAGATAACATGTAACAACGTTTTTTTCTTTCATAGCGTTAATTCGTGTCGTAACGATAATATATGTAAACTGTGTAATTAATATTAATGCTATTTAAAATGGATTTTTGTGGTCAATGGTTTTTGATAATTCGTTGATGTCGAGTGATATTTATTGCACGATCTTATATATAGATTTGTGGCATGTAAATAACAGTCGTTAAATTTTGATACAGAAAAAAACTATCAGAAGAGCATCTGCGCTTTTTATGTTTTTTTATTGCTCACGCGTCCTTGCTCATACGTGTAAGTTTTCAGTCGCGATTGATAAATTTTACCTGATATTCGCGAGGAATTGAACACGCTAATGCCAAAGGTCAATAATGTCAGTGTGGATGCAATTTTAAAAGCAGCAGCCATCTTTTATACGTTTTACAGTATTGTAATTTAACAGGCAATACTGCTTGTGATGTCTATTTATGTAATAAAGTCAATAGAAAAAAATTGTAAATGACAAAAATGGCTCGTTTTTTTTTTTACGTCAATATATCGTATTGCCTGGAAAATACTTTTAATATTTTGCAATTCGGGTAAGTATTGGACTTTTATTCCTCTTGTAAGTGTTTTAGTATAAATTATTTTTTTAGACAATAATTCTCAAAATTAATAAAAAAATAAAAATTCGAAAGATCTTGAAATGTTTTGCTTTACAAGAGTAAGTAAATTTTAATTGAAATTTTCTTTCAGGATTTCTGCAAAGATGGGGTCGCAACTTAAACGCTCAATTCGAAACTCCGCCGTGGAAAGGTAAAGCGCACGATTGCATTGCGCGTGTCGAGGAAGAGAGAAGAACTGTCAAGAGTTTACGACATAGGACAAAGTCGTGATTCTCGTTGTCAGTATAAATTTAATGAAGACCTCGCAATGCTAGATAAGAATCATGTCTCTTAAGAGTCATTCGCGTCGGTTGTGGTGTTTAGTAAAAGAAACTTGGATTAAAACAAATATTTTGTTTACGAACGTAGCGAATTTCCGATTTCTTAATCTTTTATGGTTTTTTTTTAATGTCGAATGTGGCACATCATAATGAGCAATCATAAAGAGAGATTTGATGAAACAGTATGGAGAGACGAGCAAACTCGCTATTTCTGAGTAAACAGGAAGTTTCAAATCACTTGTTTGCGTTCACTGTACAAAATAACTAATACTTTGGCGATACAACAATTTAAAGAAATCAACGGCAAAAAAATGATCTGTGCTAAATTATGCGTCAAGAATTTTATCAGGTAGCTATAAATATCGCAGAGACGTCGTCGTATTAACGTTTGATTAACAGGTAAACGGTTGGCTATAAAAATTCTCGTAGAGAATTAACATTTATCTCTCATTCCGAGAAGTGTATTTATAAATAACAAAAACCTCCGGCGCAAAATTCTACTTCTTTCGTCACATACGCTTAAGAGGCTAATTTACACTTTTATTGATCTTGTAGTCACGTGAGATGATTTCAATTGAGATGTGTCTAATACAAAAAGAGAGAGAAGGAGAGAGAGAGAGAGAGAGAGAGAGCGAGAGAGATGAGGCAGAGCGTTACGTGGAATTGACGGAACTTGCATACCACATCGAGCGGAAATTGGCATGTAAATATTGCGAAACATATTACGCGCACAATTGCACCGATTATAATCGCACAGTTATTTTTTGTTCCGATTCCCGTCCAGATTGATAAGCGGTAGATATTGACTTGCGATACAAGTAAAACGTACATATTGGCATATATTTATATTTAAATCAATAAAAATTGTCTATAATTACATAAAGCTGTTACAAGGTATAAATAATTCGAAAAAAAGACAAGTATGATTTCTTTTATTTAAAAATTATTCACCGCGCGTTTTGCTTTTCGAAGAAAGCAAACTCAAAATCTGCGGTAAACGCGAGAAAAAAGATCATCGATCAGACTAAGCGTAAAATGCGCTTTTTATACGTAAAAAAGAAAGTTTATTTTGGCAATTGATATTTTCACACTTACAGAAATCAAATATTAATTGAAAAATTGATTTAAAGAGCCTAGAGATAGGCGTGAGAAACTTGTAGAATGAAAATTTATATTCACGTATGAATTAGGACGTTTCGATTAATATGTTGTATTTAAATCATCTTCAGCCAAAACTGAAAAATATATCATCTGTTCATGTATTTGCTAGTAAATAAAACGCGCTGCACATACCGTCAACAAAATAAAATTATAAACTTTTTTACAAACCTCAAGTAAAAATCAAAAGAATTCGCGACTGTGCAATGTGTCAATTTTCTCGAAAAGTCAAACGGCAAAAACTAGAAATTGATATAGAGAATTTTTTTTTAAAAAAAGTTTTTTAAAAAACTCACATAAATCAATATAGATTAGATATTGTCAAAAGATGAGAAGTTTATAGTCAAATTGCGTCAAAACTTTAAAGTAAGAAAAGTCAAAAATATGATCAATAAATTAAATAAGTGAATAAATTAAATAAATTGAAAATTTGAATTAAATTAAATCAAATATTAAGATTCACGCTATATATTTAGTGCGAGTGTCATTGTGCATAATATTCCTACGTACATTTACATACAATTTACACACTATAACATATATTGGAAGAACGGTACACAGAGGATGACCGTTCGTGATTATATCATCATTAAATGCAGCAAGAGACTTCTCTTTCCACGTGAAACACGTTTGCGTGCAATAATAACGGCGCATCCGCATGCACCAAACAAAAGGAAAAAGAAAACGTTTGCCTTCTATAATCACGATTTATGATCGTTGTATCACCGTTTGTTTAAACCTTTGTACGATTCTCGACGGAAGCTTCACGCGCGTTTGTGTTAAGGAACTCGTAACGATATGATCGCTTCAACTGTGCGAGTTGTGCTATTGTTCAAAATAATAGCACAGTGACTACACGCGCAAACGTTGATAACAGTTCAGTGAACCAACGGAATATTTTTGAATTGGGTGAAACGCAATAAAAAATAGTTTTTATCAATAAAAAATAAAAACATTAAATATTCTTTTCTTACAACAATATTGATTTGCGCGTGTAATATTTTTTCTAAATTGTTGCTCACATATAAATGCTAAAAATAGATAATATAAATTGTTTAAGTAATTAATATAATAATTAACAATTTTTTTATTTATTGAACATGAAAAAAAAACTGTTTAAATTGTCAGAGTCATTTGTCATCCAGCAGTTTGTAACAACTATATCAATTTCTATGAAAGAATGTATTTTTCTCGGTCACACATTCCATCTGCTTGGAGAGAAAGTTG